CTTCAATATTTAAAAAGTGAAAATTAAATTGGTGATGAAGGTGCGTCAGGCTTAGGTTCTGGTTTAGCAAATTGCATTAATCTCTCAAATTTGACACTTAACCTTTAGTAAAAACAGTTTATTTGTTTTGGATTGTGATATTTTTAATTATAAAAACTAATTTAAAACAACAAAGCTCTTTTTTCTTTTTCTTTTTATTGTGCTTGCTTTTTTTATTCTTTATTTCTTTTTTAATTTAGCTCATCATTTTATTTTCAAATTTTGCCTTTATTATCAATTAATTAATCTTATTATTTCATATTTTTTCTTCATTTTTTCCTTCTAATTAACTATTTAATGATATATTTTTTCTTCAATATTTAAAAAGTGACAATTAAATTGGTAATGAAGGTGCATCAGGCTTATGTTCTGCTTTAGCAAATTGCATTAATCTCTCAAATTTGAGACTTGACCTTCGGTAAAAACAGTTTATTTGTTTTGGATTGTGATATTTTTAATTATAAAAACTAATTTAAAACAACAAAGCTCTTTTTTCTTTTTCTTTTTATTGTGCTTGCTTTTTTTGTTCTTTCTTTCTTTGTTAATTTAGCTCATCACTTTATTTTCAAATTTTGCCTTTATTATCAATTAATTAATCTTATTATTTCAAATTTTTTCTTTTTTTCCTTCTAATTAACTATTAATGATATATTCTTTCTTCAATATTTAAAAAGTTTCAATGAAATTGGTGATGAAGGTGCATCAGGCTTAGGTTCTGCTTTAGCAAATTGTATTAATCTCTCAAATTTGACACTTTACCTTAGGTAAAAACAGTTTGTTTGTTTTGGATTGTGATATTTTAAACAAAAAAATGAATATAAAACAAAAAAGCTCTTTGAATTTATTTGATAGGTTTATTTATTTAATTTTTTTATCTTTTTTATTCAACTAATATTATTTTATTTATTAATTTAAAGAATAATTTTTAATTTAAAAGTTTATTCTATTTTGATATTTATTAATAATTTACACAAATTTATTATAAAAGTTAAAACTCAATGAATGGATCATAAAAATTCAAAGTAATAAGCAAGTGTCGTAAATCAAAAAGATTAGTTGTCTTTAATTACTATTGATAAATAGCTGGTGAAAAAAGGATGAATAAATATTAAATGTTTGAATAATATTATATATTTTATTATATAATATTTTGAAAAAAATTTAAACCTAAAATATAAATATAAATAGATTTTATTATTGATTTTATATTTATAAATATCATTCATATTATTTTTGTAAGTAAATAAATTATTTATAAAAAATAAAAAATAAATGCTCTTAAGCAAACTCTCTGGTTTCTCCAAAAACGATCAAACAATTTGAAACTTTTAGTGTTTTTTTACATCTTATTAAATTATATAAATACAAAACTTTATATGACAGTTATATTTTAATCTTCAATATTATGTTTCAATCATATTTTTTATCCTTTTTTTATTTATCTTGATTAATTAGATGTCATGATTTAAATAAAACCTCAGGGAGAAATCAAGATTTACTTTTTATTTTAACTTTTTTGTTTATAATGTTTATTTTTGTTTTTTTTTCTCAAATTTTAAATTTATCTTATTATCATTTTTATCATTTTATATTTTTAAACATCATAAAATAATTGTTTATTAAATTATCATTTATTCATTCAGATAATACAAATTTAATTTTTTTATTCAATAATATTTAGAGTAAATTAATCAATTTAAAAGTTGTTAATGTTGAATTTGGCTTTAAAAAGCTTATTTCATATCAAGAATTTTTAAATTTTTTCTCTTAATCATAAAAGTCATAAAAGTTTTTAGATCTTTTAAAAAACTATAAATCTCCTGCTATAAAAAGAAGAATCTAAATTTTTTGCATCTATCCTATTAATTAGCCTATATAGTTGGAACATTTAAATATAAATAGTACAAAAAATCTAAAAAACAAATAAATAAATAAATTAAAAAATAAATTAAAAAATAAATAAATAAATAATAAAAGTAAGTAAATATTCCTTATAAAATAAAATAATATCAATCCTCATTAATAAAGTCTCTATTAAATTTACACCACAGAACAATTTTTGAGTCTAAAATTAGCTATTAATATTAAAAATTTTTAAGGTATTTAAAAAAATTTAAGACCAAATATAAAAATAACATGATACATAAACACTGTAAATTCTCATTAATTAAGGTATTCCCTAAGTATCTTTTTTGACCAAAAAAAAGTGCCACACACCATAATCGAAAAAAAAATAATTTAAGAAAAAAATGCCTTAATTAACGAGCTTTTAGAGTATTTATTTAATTAATTTTTTTATGAAATGTTAAAAATTTAATTTTATTTAAAAAAAATTTTAAACTTGATTTTAAAATAAAACATGTTAATAAATATATTTTAATTTTCTAAAATTGATCTAAAAAAAATAAATAAAAAACAATTTTATGTAAAAGCTGATCTAATTAATATTCATTTAATAGTGTTAAAGTAGAAATATGGGAGTTAAATTCATTAGCTAATAATTCTACCTATCTATTAAATTCCATCATAGACAAGAATTTCTCCAGTAAGTAATTAGCTAACATTGATATTTTAACCTAATCCTTATTATTATTATTCATCTTCTTCATTTTTAATGATGTCTTTATTGATAAATTAAATTGAATTTTATTTAATATCATAGACACTCAGCATTGTTTAGCTTTTATACATTTCTCCTTAATAAAAGCCTATGTAGAAAATTTTCAAAGAATTTTTGGCGTTCTTGAGGAAAAAGTATTATCTTTTCGTATCTTATTCATAACTGTTAGCAAATTCATATTTAGCTAAGCAATTTTTAATTATTTTTTTGATTTCGAATTTCTTTTTTTGGTTGAATTTTATTATTAAATTTGGCTTATTAGGTATTAAGACATTAAAGTTATCGTTCTTTACTTTAAGATATTAAGAGAATAGATTAATATCATAAAATTCTTCGAATCTGTGCATATTTACAAATTTAAAATCGAAATTTTTCATGTTTAATTAATAAAAAAAGACATATGAAGAGTTATGAACTTTCTTAAAAAACAATAAAGTAAACAGTCTTTTTTCTTCATTATAATGAGATAGTAAACCTTAAGTCTAATTAGCCAAATGGACTGTTTATTCTATTATTTTCTTTTAATTCAGGTCTAATATCCCAAAATATTTTACTTGTTCTTTTGCATAAATTATTGGCAAATATAACTCATTGTTATTTTTTCTGTCTAAAGTGAACTGAGAATAGCACTTAATCCCATTTTTTATTTCTTCAATTTAAGGATCATCTTCATACTCATTTTTTTCTTCTTGCTTATTTGGTAATTTATAAGAACAAATTTTATATACTTGATGAGCTTCAGTAATAAAAATTTGTTCAAATTTGCTTTGATTGAAGAAATATTCTTAGATATTATCTTGCAATCGAAGGTCATATGTAACTTCGTTTTGATTGGTATCAAAGAGCAATATTTTTGTTTGGTTTTGATAAGTGAAGAAATTCAAAGAGTCATCCTTAAGAACTTAATAATCAGATTTATTTAGTTTCTTGATTTAGTATTACAGCTATTTATTTGCCTGCTCTTTGAATGAATGAAAAGCAATGAAATTAGAAATAAAATAGTATGAGTTTTAATCTGTTTACATATAGGTTGGATATGTTAATTCATTCTTATACAATATTGGATGGAAGAAATTTTTAATATAAAAGTTTTATGAAAAGTAAATGCTGGACTGTTCGTTTCTTTGCTCAAGAGTTTAGTTAAAATTTTTCTCGCCTTTTTTCTTTGAAATCTATATCTAAAATTATGCAGAAGCATCTCTTCTCTTCCAGAATTAGTCAACTTATTTGTTTTAATATAACACAAAAATACCATTTTAGTGAGAAAAAATTCTTTAAGAAGCACTGAAATTGCATGATAAAAAATTTTATTTTTTTGGTATTTAGAATAAATTTTATTCTTTCCAATCTTATAAAAAATAGTGACGACCTACTGCATGGAATAAAAATGTCCAATTTGAAAATTCTTTTCTTTGTCTATCTTTAATTTAAATAGGAATAGGAAAAACTGAATAAATTGGTTTAATAAAATACTCCTTGCATATTATTTAAACTTTTGTGAATCTAATTATCTCTAAATTTTAAATGTTTATTTAATAAATTTTTTAATTGATTATTGCAAACAAAATTAAGAATTCTTTATCGTTGTTGTTGTATCCTGATAATTAATTTTTATCGCAGTTTTTAAAGTAGTATATAAACTCGCTTTATGTAATAGGCATCAATCTCAATAACAATTTGAATTATTCTTCAAATACTTTAAATATTACTTATTGTTTATTTAAATCTATTCTTATTAGTATTTGAGTGCCTAGAAAATAAATTATTCCAGGTTCACAATAATCTATTTCATTGTCAAAATAATTTGTTGCGCTGTTGGTGTGGTAAAAATAGTTTTTTTTTTCTTCGATATTATGTTTTTATTCGTATTCGAAAACTAATGTCAAATCAAAATTAAGTATTTTGATATTAATTTATTCATTTGATTGGATAGCAAGGATAAGATATTTGTCACCCACAATTCCAGCTTAAATTTCTAAGTGATTATCATTAAGCTTACAGACAACTTGATAATAAGGCAAGTTCTAATTATAATCAGCATAATTCTAAAGCTATATTTAGACAATTTTGTTGTTGCTATAATCTTGCTCAGTAACAACATACATGCACTGGAGTAGATCAACCATTTTATCTCCAATTTTTAACTCAAAAGAATTCTTCTCATAAAAGTGAGTTGGAAAAAATACTACTCTTCTGAAGTGAGTAAATTGTTGATTATTTTAAATCTACCTTTTCAAAGGAGCTGAATGTACTAATATATTGGTCTAGTTAGTCAGGTAGCTTTCTTCAGATAAATTTGGATTCTTTTTTAATTCAAATTATTTGCTATAAAGAAACTCAGAGTATTTTGTTTTTTAATCTAATCTCATTTTTTTTTTATAATTATTGATTATTTATTTATTTTTTAATTATTCAATTATAAAAAATATCGTCTAGCTTAAAAGTGGGAACAATATTTGAAATGTCAAATGAATAAATTAATAATTTATTAAATTCAAACAGTTTTTATTCAAACTTCTAATTTATTTTTTATTTAATATAAAAGAAAATCTTAAAAAAGTTAAGAAGCCTTAATAAAATAAATATTCTCAAAAAAAATAATCTTTCTCCTTTACAAAGGTTTTTTTAAATTAATTTATACTTAAATCCAGCGCATTTTTTACAAGCCCAGCCATTTAACCATTTGATAATTAAAGAATTTTAAATGATGAGAAAATAAAAACAATTAATTGATTAAAAATTATTCTGGAATTTCTCTATTAATCAAAAAAAATAAAAAAGGGAGTTTGGCCTTTTTTTATTTGATAGATCAAAAATAAAAATTCAGAGGTTAATTTGAAAAGGGAGGTTTGTTTCCCTTTCAAATTTTGCAAAAAATGAAAATTCTTTGATATTAATTACATTCACTTGAAGTTATAAATTGAAAGAATATTAATATTTTACAAAACTTGAAAAACTCAAACCTCCCTTTTCAATTTAACCTCTGAGTTTTTATTTTTGATTAAAGGAATAATTCCAGAATATTTTTTAATCAATTAAATATTTTTTCATTTTTTCTTCAGCATTTAATAGCTGGGCTTGTAAAAAATGTACAGGATTTAAGTACTTTAATAGAAGTAAAGAAAATATAGCTAAAAATCTTTCTACTTTTTAAAGAATTTAAAATTTGTGATAATATTTTTCAACTATTTAAAAAAAACATTTTCATTTTATATTTTTTAGGCCAAATCTATTTTTTAGAAACATATTTTAATTACTTACTTACATACTTGCTTACTTATTTATTTATTCATTCGTTGCTTGATTTTAAAAGGAATTTAACTTCAAATGTCTCAATTTTCATTTAATTAATATAAATTCATATCATATAAGATTTAATTAGGAGGAAGTAGCTGATAATTAATAAAAATTCTGAATTTAATGTTAAAGAGAGTATTTTAATTAAATGTTTGCTCAAGAGTAAATTTCTTTTTCCTAAAGTCGAGTCCTTTCTTCTATCTAAATTATTAAAAGCTATAAAAATAAAGAGAGAAATAAGCATGCAAAAAAAGAAAGAAACCTCTTAGCCTTTTTTTCACATCATAATAAGATTTTGAGAGTTTAATTCAACTTTTTGTGTGAGCTTAGTGTTTTGGTAAAATTGAAATTTATAATTAATTATCTGAAGAAATTAATTTGAAAAATGGACGAGATTTAAAAAAAAAAAAAAATTTATTTTACAGATTTTACTAATGAAGAAATGAGTTCTAAAGAAGTTTAAAATAATTTATAATTAGATCAACTTTCCTTTTTTGTGACAAAATCCTAATTTTCATAAAATCTACTTGTTAGATTATAAAATTATTGCTAATAAATGGAAAACTTAAAATTTATTTCGATTTATATTGGAACTAATATGTTTATAGGTGAAAGAGGAATATCTACGATTTTTTAAACCTTAAAAAACATGCAAAATCTACTAAATTTAAAGTTAAAAATAGATGAAGGAAATTAAATAGGATAAAACAGTTGTTAAGAGCTAATTTTAGGTCTTAATTCATTGCACCATTTGAAGTCTCTAAAGCTAAAATTAAATTTGTTTAAAAACATTAAGAAACCAGAATCAGATTTTATTGGAAAAAGTTTTTGTGAGCTAATTTAATTAGAAAGTTTATCTATAACTTTTTACAATTATAAAATAGGAGAGAGAAATACTTAAAAAGAATTAATAAATTCCATTAAAAATTTGGTAAAATTAAAATATCTTTAACTGAAAATCAAAGACAGCTCTTTAAAGGTGTTTGATTGTTATGATATTTTGAATTTTGGCCAATTTATTTTGCCTGATTTATAAGAATTTTCCTTTTCTTTAAAAAATAATAATTTGATGAAGCCTAAAACAGAAATTTTAAATCAATTCTTAGAAGTTTTAAATCTTAACTAAGAATTTATTGAGGATTAAATTGATGAAAGAATGTATATTATACTAGGTATATTTAAATAAATTAATTTTTTCAAATATGTATAAAGAATATCAATAGAATTTGACAATTATGTTTCATAGCATTTAATGCAAATAGCTTTAAGTTTAATCTAAGATTTATCACATTTGATATTTCCAAAACTAACAATAGCCTTTAATTCATTTGAATAATCTGATAACCTAACAAAAATGACTAATTAATTAACAAAATTGCAAGGAATTTAAGAATTGAATATAAAAATAACAAAAGAGATTTCTATCATTGATTTTTTTCTATTCTTAAAAGATTTAACAACATTAAAAAATTTATAAAAATTTTCTTTTGAAGCTTCTTATTTATCTGAGCTAATTGAAATAGATGAATCTGAAGATAATAATTTAATGTAATAAGATGAATAAGAAAATCCAAAATAAGAACTTCAGGATGAAATAGGAGAAGAATAAATAGCTAATTATGATAAAAATAATGAACTTATAATTCATGAACAAATAAACGAAAAAAATGACTCATAAAAATAACAAAATGAATAAAAAATAAACCAAATACTTGAAGATGAAATAATTAAATAATTCAATTAGAATGAAGAAAGTTAAGAGCTTCAAAATGATTTCAATGAAATAAAAATGAAAGAATAAAAGTTTTAAGAAGCAAAATAAGATTTTGATAGCAATTTAGCATAAAATAATTTATAAAATACAGAGAAAGATGAAATTAAAGAACATCAAAATGATAAATTTCATATTGAAGAGTTTTAAGAAATTAAAAAAGAAGGATTTTAAGAGTTTGAAGAATTCTTAATGAAATAGAACGAAATGAAATAAAAAACAGTAACAAATTAAGTTTAAGCATTCGAAAATGTTACTGTAAATAATAAAGAAAAAGAAGAAACTGTGAAAGAAGTAGATTAAGAATATCAAAATGATGTTATAAATTTAATTAAGAATGAAGAAAAATAAGAAAATAAATGTTTAACAGAAAAACAAATTTAAGAGGATAGATAAGAAGAATAAGTAATAAAAGAAAATAATAATTGTATTGACAATTCAACAACAATAACAACAAGAATATTTGAAGATGTAATAAATTTTTATTCTAGTTTAAAAGAAAGCAACTTTAAAATTGAATGCTATCAAATAGATGGAACGTATAAAGAGCTAAGGTTGAATTAGTTTTTTAGTTAAATAAAGTCTCTTAAAAATTTAAATATTTGTTATTATTATGATGATTATTATGAAGAAGTCGAATTAATTCAATTTAATTGTTTATCATTTTGTAATTTGAAATAACTCAAAATTAATTTTATTTCTTTAGATTAAGATTCTAAAATAATTTAGTTTTTAAATGCTATTAAGGTTCTTAAAGAACTTGAAAAATTATCACTAAAACTTAAAAGAGAAGATAAAATGAATTTAGAGTCAATTCTACTTTTGAAAGAAGTTTTCTTTAATTTTAAACAACTAAAATAGCTGAATTTGTGCTTTGGCCTTGAATTATCAGAAAATAATGTAGAGATAAAGCATTTCATAGAAAGTTTATAGCAGTTAAATCTTGATAAGTTGAAACTTTCTATTTCAGAATAAATTTTTGATGCAAATTCTGCTTAGTGTTTTATTAACGAAATAAGAAAACTCAATGTAAATAAAATATTTAAGCTATCTGTTTCTAAAGATAATCAATTTTTTTACAATGGAGCTGATAAATTCTTTTAAAACCTTTTAAATTGTTCATAAATCACTGAGCTAAGCTTAAAATTATTTAAAGGTAACACAAACAAAAATTAAGCTAGAGAGATTTTTTCTTAACTCTCCCATTTAAAATATGTTGAAAAACTTAATTTGCTATTTTATGATTTAGAAGTAAATGAAGAAGATGTTTAATTTATTCACAATTCACTTAAAATTTTGAAATAAATAGAGGAACTTAGCATCTAAATTAAATCGTTTTTGATTCTTTATCTTATAAATTTGCACTAAGACTTACCATTCTTGCGCTAAATAAGGAGTAAATATTTTAAAATCATATTCGTAAGAAACGGCTAAAACAGGTCAAAATTTTCAAATTCTTAAGCTGAGTAGCAGTAAATTGTTGCTTTTAATTAAGGATAAATATTACTACAAAAAAATTTTGAATTAATGAAAGCAAAAATTAATTTTAAAACTCTACTTATGACAAATTAAATTGATAGCAAATGGGCTATAGAAAACATTATAATTCCTAAATAAATTGAAATAAAATTAGCTTCTTTATAAAAATAAAGTTCATAATAAACAGTGGAGGTGTTGAAGAACTTTGCTTATCATAAAAATCTTAGATATATTAAATTCAAATTCCCAGAATATAAATATGCTAAGCTTTATAATAAAAGTTCAATAAAAAATATATTTTATAAAATTAAGTATTTAGTGGTTTTCAAGCAAATTTGAGTATCTATACAACTCAAAGCTAGAATATTTATTTTAGTTGTTTTATAAAGTCTATAAATAAAAGTTTATTAACCTAAATTTAATTTATTTTTTTTATCAATTAGTTTTTAAAATCTTATTTAAAAGTCAAGAAATTTTAGAAAATATTTATTTATTGATGATGTATTTCTTCATGATTTAAAAATAATATTAATTAATTAATTACTGAGAAGATTAGAATAAAAATTATTTGAAATATCACAAATCATGATATAATAGTCCGTGATATTTCAAATGTAGGAACAGGTATATATAAAAAATGGAAATTTTATATAAATGAGATAATATTGAAGAAGATAAAAATATCAATTAGAAAATATTTATTTATTTTAAAAATCAAAATATTGAGATAATATTTTTGTTAAATTTTGGAGGTATTTTAAATTTGGAGTAGTTTTTATTAATCCAATTATTCTCCTTTCAATTATATCATTTATGAGCTTATAGAAGACACAAACACTTGAATAAATATTTTTAATTGAATGATTATAACAGAGTGGCAGTAAATGAATATATGCTTGTATGGCAACTAAAATAAGTAAAATAAGTAAATTAAATTAAATTTATTGCTATTTAGTTTAAATACATTTTGCCAAATTTTTTAATTAATAATCGCAAAAATACTTATCAAATCTAAGACTAAAATGTTTGAAATAAGTATAAAAGATATTTGATAAGATAAGCAAGTGAAATATATAAAATCAATGAGAATCATTAACTTAATTTATTTTAAAGAAGAATGGCTAATTAAAGGAATTTGATAAAGGTTTAGTTAGTTCTAGTTAATCTCTTGTGCGTCTTTTATATTTTAAGTACATTTTTTACCATCATTTGATCATTTAATTAACAATATACATATTTTTATACCATTTCATTCAATCATTAATAAATATTTACATTAGATTATAAAATAATACAGCATTAATTAAAAGCAGACAAGCAAATAAAATAAATAGATAAATAAATAAAAAGATAGTAAACAAAAAACAATTAAAGTAACTAACTAAGCTTTTTCAATTAATCTGCATTTCTAACAGGAGTCGTTTCTAATGAAAATTTTAATTTTTATTTTTTGTTTGATAGAGTTAATAAAAAGTAGAATTTTAGATATTATTACAAAAATTTAATCATTTTTAATGATATCATCATAGGTTTTTTACAGAATTATGCAATAGATGATCATGATTTATAATCATAGGCAAATCGATCTTACTTATATTTTGAGGTAGACCTTTAGGCTTTTCAAAATATGGGAACGCATACAAATTTTCATAGCTTCATCACTTTGCAGTTCTAAAATCCTGTAGAAGAGAAGCATTTTTTAATGTAAATTATTTATTTGTTTCATTCGATTTGTCTTAAAATAAAAATTTTGTACAAGTAGAAATAAAAACAATAAGATGATATCATTATTGACTTCGAATGGATCAATTTTAGAAGAATACGCAAATTTGAGTGAGCTTTCTAGAAAAGAAGTTGAATTACTCACAGTATTGATAAAGGATAATGCTAAATTGATTTTAAGAGTTGAATATCCCTTTTATGGATTGTCATTTGAACAGATTTAATACTATTTTTCTACTGTTTATGCAAGGATGTATCTCTTTCTATTTATTTACTCATTACTGATAATTAATTTATGATATAGACTTTTATTTTTTTGAAGTGTTTTTAATTACTTTTATTTGTGTGATTAATAGTGAAAGGATCTAAGAGTAGTTCTAGATCAAAAGAACTAGATTAATGTCTTTATCCTGTCCTTAGGGATAGTTTGATAATGATGGGGTTTGCTAACCTTGTTCTAGCTGCAATTTTTGTAACTCGTTAGAAAATTACAATAATTAGAGGGATTGTTTTCTATGTTTATCTAAGCCGCCATACAGCTTAACTTAGAGATTGGATGGATCATGCTAAAAAAATTGTCCACCTGGACTTACTTATAATGTCTGGAGTCTAGCATGTACAAATGGTTGTGACACATCACAATGCGTTTGTAATAATTCAAAATGCGATTCTTGCTTGAATAGTTCTTATACAATTTATCCTGATTACAATACTTGTTATTTGTGCTTGAATAATTCTACTTAGATAGGGAATTTATGCTTAAAATGCAATTTGAATTAATTTGTTGATCTTCCCAATAAAAAATGCACTAACTGCGATAAATATGGTCCTTGTGAGAAATGCGATCAAAATAGATGCTTATAATGCTACTCTTCAGCATGCTACAATGGATTTGATAGAATATAATGTATAATTGTTTCATTTGATATGTTTAAAGTTGGAGACATTTGCTTTAATAAGCAGTCATCTTGCAAGACATACTCATAGAAATCTTTAAAAGAAGATAAGAAGCAAATTATTTGTGACGAATGTGTTGATCCAAGTTATGTTAAATATGATGATGGTTCATGCTAAAGCTAATGCTCTTTGAAACATGAAATTTTTGATGGTGTTTGCTCGCCTTGTTCTAATAACTGTCTTAAATGCCCAAATCTAAATGAATGCACATAATGCGAAAAAAATAAGTTTATTTTTAACAATTCTTCTTGTGTTTCTGAAACAGAATGCAAAAAAAATCCAGAATATTATGTAAATACTGTATCAAAAACATGTGAAAAGTGCTAAACTGACAATGGTTTCTTTTTCTCTGGAGGTAAGTGCTAGAAATGCCACTCCTCATGCAAATAATGCTCAGGAAATTTATACAATTAATGTTCTTCATGTTATGATGGGTCTGTTTTGTTGAGTGACAACACTTGTTTTACATGTATGGTTAATGATGGATACTACTTAGACAAGTCCAATAACTGCAATCAATGCCATTATTCTTGCAAGACTTGCAATGGAGGCTTGGACTCAGATTGTTTAACTTGTAAAGGAAATTTTGTTTTAGATTCTTTGTCTAAAAAATGTATTTGCAAGATTAATAACTGCATAACATGTTCTTCAGATGGTTCCATATGCGAGAAATGTATCGAAGGATATGCTGGAGCTGATTGTTTAGAATGCAACAAGGTAACTTTAGGCAAATACATTGAAAATAATACTTGCAAAGATTGCAATAGTTCATGCAAGACATGTGTAGGACCACTTGCAACAGATTGTATTGAATGCAAAAGAGAGGCATATAAGGTAGATCCATCAAGTAAATTATGCTAATGTGCAATAAATAACTGCTAATAATGTAATACAGAAGGTACTGAATGCTTGAAATGTATTGGAGGATATGCTAAAAAAGAAGGTCAATGCATTTTTTGTGATGAATAAAATGGGTTTTTTATTGATTTGAATAATATATGCTAAAAATGTCATTCGAGTTGTCTTAAATGCAATGGACCTAATGAAAATAACTGTTTATAATGCAAAAATAGTGGATTTAAATTAGATTTAGCAACTAGTAAATGTATTTGTACAATAGAAAATTGTGTTTAATGTTCTGAAGATGGCCAATCTTGCTAGAAATGTATTGATAATTATACATATGTGAATAAGGTATGTACCCTATGTGACTTAAACAATGGTTATTATCTTGAAAGTGGTATTTGTAAAAAATGTGACGAGTCTTGCGGTAGTTGCTTAGGGCCTACAAAATATGATTGCAAAACATGTGTGTAGAAAGACTTTAAATATGATCCAAAATAAAAATTATGTGTTATTGAAAACTGCAAAACCTTATCTGGTATGAATTGCGTTGATTGTTAAGATGGGTTTGTGTTGAATAAGAACTAATGCATTTTTTGTGACACTTCAAACTAAAAGTACATTTAAAATAATAGCTGCTTATAATGTCATGAAAGCTGTAAAACATGTCATGGTCCTTCTGAGAGAGACTGTGATGTTTGCTAGATCGCATTATTTGAAAAAGACAAAAATAATAACAACATATGTTCTTGTGCAATAAAAAATTGTAAATCTTGTAGTAGTGATGGAAGTAAATGCTTAGAGTGTCTTGATAATTATGTAAATAAGAATGATTCATGTTAGTTTTGTGATGAGCAAAATGGTTATCACTTTAATAAAATTTCAAATAAATGTAATAAATGTCATGAAAGTTGTAAAACTTGTTATGGCCCATCAGATGCAGAATGCAAAGAATGCATCAAACAGTTTTATAAGCCAAATAAAAATAATAAATACTTGTGTTAGTGTGTATTAGAAAATTGCGAAAAATGCAATGAAGATGGAAGTAAGTGCTTGAAATGTGAAGATAAATACTTTATCGATAAAGGAATCTGCCAATATTGCGATATTAATTCATTTAATTATGATAAAATAAATTAAAAATGCTATAAATGCCACTCTTCCTGCTTAACTTGCAATGGACCAACAGAAAAAGATTGTACAAAATGCATAAATTCTAATTTTATTCATGACCCTTCTAACTCTAACATTTGTAAATGCAAAATATAAAACTGTTAAAATTGTTCTTAAGATGGAAGCCAATGCTTGTAGTGTGCTGATAATTTTAGTCCAAACTAGCAGAAAACTTAATGTGATTACTGTGAAACTAAAAATTAATTTTTCATTGAAAAATCTACAAATTCTTGTTTAAGTTGTCATGAAGACTGCAAGACATGTGTTGGCTAGCAAAAAAATGAATGCACAAATTGCATGCACAAAGGATAGACATTAAATGAAAAAAATATCTGTTCTTGTCCATAAAGTGAGTGTTTATTCTGTCAAATTGATACAAACACTTAAAAAAACAAATGCAGATGCGAAAAATGTTATTGTAAAGTTGAAAACTGTGAAAAATGTAGCTAATAAGATGAAAATACTTGTGAAAAATGCAAAGATGATTTTATTTTGATGGAAAAAGGATAAAAATGTTAACAGCTAACTCAATGCAAAGTAGAAAACTGCTTAGAATGCTCACTTAACTCAGAAAATTCATGTGAAAGATGCAAATAAAATTATCAATTAAATAAAATCAATAAATGTGTTGAAATAGTAAAAGAAGAATCATATTAATTTAATTCAAAAATTCAAGTAACTAATGATGGATATAAAATAACATTATAATTTTAACAACCACTTTAATTCAAAGATGATAATTTGAAAAATATTTTCTCTATCGAAATAACTCAAATAAGTAGCTCTGATTATTAGTATGAAATACAAAAGATATCTGAATAGCAAATTAAAATTAACATTTCGTTAAATATTGCATGCAAAGAAGAAACGATGCATTTGAAAATAAAAGACGAAAAATTTATTTAATTGAATCATCTCTCTAAAACAGAAGATTCTTTGCTATTAGACAATTATGTAAAGCTAACAGAAGATCAAAAGTAATAACAAAAAGAAATTCAAACAGCAAGCTAAAGTATTACCTCTACAGTTGTGGGAACAATTATACCTTTGGCACTTCTTGGTAACTTTTATATTGTTTTTAGCATGCTCGATATTACAGGATTGATCTATTATCTCCTTTATCTAGACATAAGATATCCTTTTAACGTGACCAGCTTTTGCAATTTATTTTAAAATTTCTAATTTGCTTTCGTCCCAAACATGCTCTTACAGTTCCTAGACCCAAATTACACTCAATGGGCTCCAAAGAAATTCATAGAAAATTAATCAGATGGCTATTTTCTTCATGGAGCAGGACAAAGTTTTACAATCATAAGTAAATTATCTCTTTAAATACTCTATATTCTCATTAATATATTTTAATAAAATTTTATTTTTTATGAGTTTTTTTATTTTAATTTTAGTTTTTTTTAATTTTTTAATATTTTTATTAGATTTTAATAATGAGATTTTATAGTATTAAATTTATTTAAACAAATTTCAATTAAAATAATAATTAATTTTGATTAATATTAAAATATTAGCAATTATAATGTCTATATACTTTGGTCTAAAAATACTTCAACTTGTACCTATTAAAGCTTTTTAGTAATATATTAACCAAAAAGTAAAAGGAGGATGGGAATACAGTGGATTTCTAGATTTAATTTGGACAGTTTATCTCTACGTCTTAGTCTCTTCGCTGTTGCAAGTTTTCACTTTTGAAATTTATGATAATTCTTCGTATATTAACTACATTCTATTTGTAATATGCTTTATAGCTGTTTTTGGTATCCCTATAAAATTTACATAAATATTGTACAAATCTAAAAACACAAAAGACGATGAATTTCTAAATTAAAGACTCAGTTCTCTTGTGGCAGGTTTGAAGCTTTTTAATTAAGATGAGAATACAAACGAAGAATGCCAAAATTTAGATAATCAAAACTAAAATGAAGATGATGAATTCGTTGAAGATAAATAAAACAAAGAAAATAAATTAGCAGAAGGCTAAACAGTTAATAATAGAGTTGAAATTAAGGTAATATCGCCTAAATAATAAAGTAGACAATAAGATTTAAGTTTTTAATAAATCTAAAATGTAAACATGCAATAAATTACATAAGATTTAAACATACTTTAAATCTAAGACTCAAACATGCCTTAAAGTATGAATTTGAAAGATTAGTAAAGTCAAATTGAGAATTGTATTGAATAATAAGCAGTAGCTGATGGATTTGACAACTAATTTAATTAGAATTCAGCAAAATTCATTGATCAACCTAAATAAATTTCAAATATCTTTGGATCTTAAAGAATGTCTTTAGCAAATCTTTTGGAAAAAAAATCAACAAGGGAACTTATGCAAATGAAATATAGCAAGTACACAAACATGGTTTTGTATTACAGAAAGATAATTTTTTCATGTATAATTGTTTACCTTCATGATTATACCTATGTCTAAATAGCATTGCTCTCAGTTTTAACTTTGTCTGTAGCAATTTTCTATTTGTATATAATGCCTTAAGTTAGTTATTTTGATAACCTCAAAAACGGATTAAGTGAATTAGTTTTAATTATCATCATTTTTTCAGCCAGCCTTTTAAAGAACGACCCCAAAGACCAATCAGAAGAAGACAGAATTAAGATAGGATGGATCTTTGTATCTTGCACATCCCTCATAATTACAGTTTAAGCCTTAGATTTGATATTTGAGCTTTGTAGAAATCTTCTGCAAAGCATCTTGTCTATTTTCAGAAAAAAGGTACCAAAAACAGTGCCAATTGTTGAAGAGAAAAAAGTGAAAAAAAGAAGACCAAGTTGCAAATCAAATCAAAAGTTTGCTCTTTAGGCAAATAATATCTAATTGTAAAGCAATAAATTTATTAGCTCGTAATTTAGCTTAAAGAGCATCGACCAGATAAGTAAACAAGAAGAATAAAACCCTTAAATGTTTGGAGAGTCTCCTTGCCGTACTAGAATATTAGATGATTTTGAGTCATCAAGCCCAGTGAAATCTTAAAGAAAAAGAAGAACTCTTAAACTGCAAACCTAATTAAAACAGGTTTCAATCATTCCAATAAACGTGTAAAGCAGCAACTTAAACGCAAATATACAGTCTTATGATTAAGAAATACAGTTATTTGACTAAACAAACAATATTTAACCAGCATCTGCCTCAAGATCTTTCATTTAAGATATAACTTCTAGACAATTTACAAAAAGATGAAAAAACATTTTTTTATAAAATAATTTACCTAAATTAGTACAAATAAAAATACTTGTATTCAAATATTTATTAACAACTTACATATTTAATCATTTTAAAAATAATTTTATTTATTTATTCATTTATTATATTATTTATTTATTTGTGAGTAGAGTGGAGTTAGTTTAAAATAATTGAAAAAATAATGTATCATATAGGGAGAGAGGGGATTTTAAAAATATTTTATTTTATTTTACAAACTATCAATTGTTAACTACTAGGTTTTTTTCAAATATGGCTAAATAAATAACTGGTCATCTCTAATTCCTACTATATATATTTTTAAGTATATGTTTTAAATAAAAATATTAATTTTAAATAGTGAATGTTAAATTAATTTTCTGTATATCTCTTCATAAAACCAAATATATAAATTAATATTTGACAATTAATTATTATATTTATTTGTTCTTTTTAACCATTTATTATTTATTTATTTATTAATTAATTAAATTTCATAAATTGCTTTTCAATATTTTTGAAAAAAAAATAAATGATATAATAGATTAAAGAATATTTTAATTTGGAAGAAGTAATTATTAATTTTTTTACTAATATCCTTTAAATTTATATAAATTAATAAAAAAAGTTTAAAAGCTCTTCACTTTTATCTCATTAGGTTCTCCATATTGATCTTTAGTATATTTAATTAAAAAATATTATTTTTATTATAATTAATATTTTTGTATATTTAATTTTCAATTTATTTAAATAAATAATTTTTATTATACAAATTATCATCATTATTTATTGATGATAAAACTAAAATTTTTTATATTTTAACTTAATTTTCATTTAAATTTTTAATTATTTATTTATTATTAATTTTTTATTATTTGATATATTTTCTTCATTTTTTGCTATTAAAACTTACACTTAATAAAAGCTATTAATTTGTTTTAAATTGTAATATTTTTAATTATAAAAGTTAATTTAAAACATTAAAGTTCTTTTAATTTATTTGATTTGTTTTCCTTTTACTTTTTTTTATGGTTTCTTATTTTTTCATTCTTTGTTAATTTTATTAATTTTTAATTAATTTTATTATTTCATTTTTTTCTTTATTTTTTCCTCCTAATTAACAAAAGTGAAATACCTATTTAATTTATATCTTTCTTCATTTTTTCCTTCTAATTAACTATTTAATGATATATTTTTTCTTCAATATTTAAAAAGTGGAAATTAAATTGGTGATGAAGGTGCATCAGGCTTAAGTTCTGCTTTAGCAAATTGCATTAATCTATCAAATTTGACACTTAACCTTAAGTAAAAATAGTTTATTTGTTTTGGATTGTGATATTTTTAATTATAAAAACTAATTAAAAACAATAAAGCTCTTTTTTCTTTTTCTTTTTATTGTGCTTGCTTTTTTTTGTTCTTTCTTTGTTAATTTAGCTCATCATTTTATTTTCAACTTTTGCTTTTATTATTTATTTCTTATTATTTCATATTTTTTCTTCATTTTTTCCTTCTAATTAACTATTTAATGATATATTTTTTCTTCAATATTTAAAAAGTGTAAATTAAATTGGTGTTCAAGGTGCATCAGGCTTAGGTTCTGCTTTAGCAAATTGCATTAATCTCTCAAATTTGACACTTAACCTTTGGTAAAAATAGTTTATTTGTTTTGGATTGTGATATTTTTAATTATAAAAACTAATTAAAAACAATAAAGCTCTTTTTTCTCTTTCTTTTTATTGTGCTTGCTTTTTTTTGTTCTTTCTTTGTTAATTTAGCTCATCATTTTATTTTAAACTTTTGCCTTTATTATTTATTTCTTATTATTTCATATTTTTTCTTCATTTTTTCCTTCTAATTAATTATTTAATGATATATTTTTTCTTCAATATTTAAAAAGGTCTAATTAAATTGGTGATGAAGGTGCATCAGGCTTAGGTTCTGCTTTAGCAAATTGCATTAATCTCTCAAATTTGACACTTGACCTTTGGTAAAAATAGTTTATTTGTTTTGGATTGTGATATTTTTAATTATAAAAACTAATTAAAAACAATAAAGCTCTTTTTTCTTTTTCTTTTTATTGTGCTTGCTTTTTTTTGTTCTTTCTTTGTTAATTTAGCTCATCATTTTATTTTCAACTTTTGCTTTTATTATTTATTTCTTATTATTTCATATTTTTTCTTCATTTTTTCCTTCTAATTAACTATTTAATGATATATTTTTTCTTCAATATTTAAAAAGTGTAAATTAAATTGGTGTTCAAGGTGCATCAGGCTTAGGTTCTGCTTTAGCAA